CTCTCTCTCTCTCTCTCTCTCTCTCTCTCTCTCTCTCTCTCTCTCTCTCTCTCTCTCCCTTTATAAACTTCAGACAGGCAATAACCTCTTTCTTTGTTCTTAAGACACTTCTTTACTATTGATAAGTTTAGTAAGGAGATGCATGTTGAACTGGCACCAGAGTTTTAGGGAAAGCTCCATCTACCCTCTTCTACAGAAACAGTTCCAGAATACTTGGAGGAGAGCCGAGTGGGGATTGAGGAATCATGGAAGTAAGGAGATGACCACTTTAACTGATGACTTCTTTTAATCAAACTCGTAGCATCTGCACCAGAATCTAGCCAGCATGACAAAAGATACCCTCCCAGTTAGAATCCTGCTAAGGCAAAATAACTGGGTTTCCTTCCTGCTGAAGATGAATACCCCCCAAAATTTACAAAAGGATTGATTACACTAGAAAAAGCACATACAAGCCTGTTTTAGAAGTAGCTACCATATCGAGCATTTACCACGTGCTGAATCCAGAGCTAAGTACTTTATGAATGCATTCAATTCTTAAATCGCTGTAAATGAGATATTATTTTACTAATAAATTTTACTGGTGAGGAAACAGACTTGAGAGGTTACTGTAACTTGCCAAAAGTTCCATGTCTGGTATTTAAAAAGCTAGGATTTGAATCCACTTAACTCCATTTAACTCTAAAATCAGTGCTTTTGATCTCTATCCTTACCTCTAGACCAGTCACTTGAAATACAGGATTAGGTCTGTTAACATAGATTGGGATAGATAAGACTAGGAATTCTCACCTTGTAATTCATGTTTGGCTCAAAATAAATATGAATGCACATTTTTTAATGGCTATTTGTTATTCACTCAAAAGGGCATCATTTCACCTGATCATAGATTTTTTTTGAAAAGCAGAGAAATCTCTTCTATTATGTACAATATAGCCCCCCAAAAGGATAATATCCTGAATCTTTGATTAGGCAGACAATATTTTTAAATTTTATTTTTTATTTGTGACAAAATACACAGAATTTAAAATTTATCATTATAGTCATTTAAAATGGCTACAAATAAAGAACAACTCAGTGGCATTAACTATATTCACCACATTGGGCAATGATCACCACTAAATTCCAGAACATTTCCATCATCCCAAACTGAAAACCCATC